AAAGGAGAGCGAAGTGAGACTGCTGCACCGGATCGAGAGCTCCTTCAAAGGGAGGATGGTGACCGGCTTCTGGGTGGGACAAAAGTCCTCGTGTGTCCTCGTGAAACATGGAGAGTAGAGTTTGTTTTCTATATCTGTTTTCTTACATTTCCAGTTAAACTTACTTATCCAAAACTTTAAATATGTTTCACTGCAACACATATTTTAAGTTAATGCAATTATTCTATATCAAAATGTGTGTACGTATTATTGAAGAAGCTGCTATGTGTACGAGTTTTCTTGTGTATCATTGATCTGTTATTTAGTCGAAAGCGAATGTTAAAGGTTCCATGTCATGGCCATTTCTACTGATCATAATTCCATTGTTGAGGTCTACTAGAATAGATTTATATTGTGCAATTTCAAACTCACATTGGTTTCTCATAGAGCATCTCTGCATAGTATGTGTATTCACTCTCTGTCCTAAACGGCTTGTTGGAGCTCCTGCCCCCCCCCCCCCCTCCCTGTGAGCCCAGTGGCCGTCTGCGAGACAGCGAGACACAGCGAAACCCAGCCCGAAACACACACACACCCGCAGCCTGGCTGGGAGTTTGTGTGTGTGCCCAGGCTGAGTTCCGCGGTGTCTCGCTGTCTCGCCGACCCCACACCAGTGAGCCAGCTCACAGTGTCCCGCTCCTCGCAGCAGCGAGCCTCGCAACGTCCCGCCGAGTGTGTGTGTGTGAGGAAGTCCGCGGATTGGTCCAAACGTAACGGCTACGTCCGCGGAGCCGTTACGTTTGGACCAATCCGTTACTTTACGTTACGTCACTATACCCGAAATACGACACTATACCCAAGAAGTAAACAATGGAAAAAGAGAAATCTCCAACGAGGCGTTCTGGGGCAGCACAGGTATTTTCTGTGTTAGAGTTTTACTCGCTACAGGCTGTACTTTGAAGGTTTGTGACTCTGCAGACCGTTTACATGCATAAAAAGCTACATAACACACAAGGGGACGGGGAATAACCAGAAAAGCATGACATGGGACCTTTAAATATGTCTTAGTGGTGTCATATATTCATGTATTTGTATATCTGTAGCATAGTGTATTGTATATCTGGGAGCCATTTTCAAGAATCTTTTTTGTGTGAATTAAAACAAATAAACAAAATGAAAACCATTATGCATACAAAATATGTATATACTTTTTTCCATTCTTATAACAGTGAAGTTAATGTTAAGGGGAATTAGTTAAAGTATATACTTTCTTACTGTCATACTGTTTGAACATAGCAGTAAATCAAACCGAACTCTGTTTGATGAATTATCTTTCAATTTAAACTGATTTGATTTACAACAAATACATTTTAAGGCAAATACGTATGCATACAAATAAGCAACAATAAAACAACTTCTGCAAACCCTTTCAGCAGTGCTAAAAAGATCGGGAACGGTCATTTCAATATCACAGAAATATCAATACACCGTACAGACATGAATAAATAAAGAATTGGAAAGAATATCTGCCTTTCTGGAACTAACAGAAACAAAATAGAATAAATGAACAGACAGCCAAGTTGTCAGGCTATAGTCCCACACAATAAATCACAATTTATAAATACAAACATAGGAAAATTAATCCATCACTGTCATGCGAAGCATTCAAGCTCCACCATATACCTTCAGCTGCTGTGGATTTTTCATTCTTCACCTATCCCTGTTAGCGCTGAGCAGAGGGTCCCGAGGATTAGGCTGGTGACAGGAAAGCAGATCCTGTGAAGCAATAAACAAGATAATATGTGAGCACACATAAGGCCAGTGCAGATGCATGGTAAGAAGAGAGTGGTTGAAATATAAGGGGGCAGACGCAGGACTCAACTCCATGCTGAGTTCATTGATATTAGAGTCAAGAGATCAGCAGTTCTAGGAACAGAAGAAATTGTGAATAATTTTTGCAAAATGTAAAAAGTTATGATGTAAATCTCAATGAAAGGGAACACACTGTCAGTGTCACGACTTCTTTGGGATGTTACACATTGTCACAGTGGCAACTTGATAATGTCTCAAATGATGTGCCATGAAGTTTGTTAAAGTTTCCCAAAATCAAGTACCTAGATCTCATGAGCAACTTGTGTGTTAAGCCACATTCTTCAAACATTTGTGAGTATTTTTGAATCCCATGATTTATATTGTGACTCCTACCAAAATTGTATTTGTTTTATTTATTTTACTATTTCTTTATTGCTGGCAACAATCATTAAAATCATTTGCAGCACCTTTCAATGCAACACATGCTTTACAATAAACACAGGGCTAATAAAAACTCAAACGTACAGGCTGAAAAATGTATACTTTATAGTTTAAGTTCATTTGAATAGATATAATGAATTCTATCAGTAAAGAAAAAGTCAAAAGAATTTTTTTATTTAAGAAGGGATTTTAAAGAGGTCCCTAAGTGTGTCTGCCTGTCACCTTTAGACCTTTAGACGAGCAATACATTCAGGTTGATGTACAGTCTGTGTTTGAGACCCTCTTCTCTGACCCAGTCTCTAGTCCTCCACAATCTAACCCAACTCAGCCGAAGTGATGAAGAAGACTTTTTTTTCTGTGTCTCCCCCTAGCGCCTGTCACCTTTAACAACAAGTTGTGGAGAGAATGATTTTTTGTCTAGTTATTCTTGTAGCATAAATGGACTTCATCTGCATTTTGTTGTGGAGCCATTTATTGCAGAATAACTTAACCTTGGACCTTGAAGCCTGGATCATTGCTACTGGAAAATGCAGGGGCGCGTTATCCAAGGAACCAAGGCAAGCCATGATTTTTAACAATCAAAATGTGTTGCTGTCATTTTAATGAAAATAGAATCTATTTTTCGTCACATTACATTCATTTGTTACTCCTTCTTCCCAGTGACTCTACTTAAATGAGGAAAAATCTGGTGCACTTTGACAGCAACGTTAAAAGGGTTGGATCAATAGAGAAATTGCTCATGTAATATATCAATATAAACAGTGAAAGTGGTTTGAACTATTGCCTGCCCATTTTTTTTTTTACAAGTCACCATTGTCTAGGCCAGGGGTCTTCAACCTTTTTTAGGATGAGAGCCACTTTCAAAAAATAAAACAAGTCGTGAGCTACTTTTACTCCTTTTTTTGTTTTTTTGCGGTGTATAGCCTATATTTAGCACATTTTAACATTATTATATGCTTACCCTTAACCTTTGTGTGCTGTTTGGGTCTGTGGGACCCGTTTTCAGTGTTTACTAAAATAGAATGTATGCAATTTCAATAATCCAAACATCTTTAGAATATGATCACAACCAATAACAAATCATTTAAACTTGTTTATTCTTATCTTATGTTACCTGTAGCATTTTTTACTGTCCTATAGTACACATTGGAATGATTTCTTATTTTATTTTTAACTAGGCTATATTAAATAGATAAAGGTGTGCTCTCTCTAGCTCTCTCTCTCTCTGTCTCGCTCGCTCACAGAGGCTGTGTGCTCCTCCGTGGCGATGACGGCTTGCGTTAAAAAATAATAATAAACATAGGCCTATTTGTAAAGTGGGGGGACACAAACGGGATTTCGAAAAGTGTCACGGTTAAACTCCTTATCAGAATCAGAATCAGAATCAGAATACCTTTATTAGTCCCACAGAGGGGACATTTGCATTGTTACAGCAGGAAAGAGCCACAGACAGCTTAATGTTACATATGTTAAACAAAAGTGGTGAAGTGGTGAGGTGCCGCTCCACATTGCTTTTCTTCCCAGCTGCAACGCTGTTGTGTGTATATGAGAGATTTTTACATATGTCTGTAAATGATTTTGGTTTCAGTTGTGTGTGTGTGTGAGCAGGCTCGGATTGGCCATCGGGAGATTCGGGACTTTTCCCGGTGGGCCGCTGCCGTTGGTGGGCTGCTGCCTTCGGTGGGCCGCTGGCTCTGGCATAGGTGGGCCGTGGACTTTCACAGCGCCGCTGCGCCGCATCCGCCGCCGCATCCGCCGCCGCATCCACCGCCGCATCCACCGCCGCAAACACCCGCCGTTGCGAAGCTCCGGCGGCGCCGGCGGGTTCCCGGAGCAGCGGCGCTGTGAAAGTCCACCGCCGCTGCGAGTCTCCGGCTGTAACAGTCCACTACCGCCCCCGCGAGGACCCAGGTTCGATACCGGCCTGAGGTCCAAATAAAAATAATCTCCCGTTCATCGCGTCCATTCGCGACCCACCTATCACATCTATGCGGCCCACCAGTGGGGCGCGCCCCACACTTTGAGAAACGCTGCCCTAAGCATGTTAAGACACCCTCTCTATGTAAAATGCTATCATGCTGACAAGCTAAAATGCTAAATGTTGCATGTGGCAGAGTCTCAGATTAATAGGTTAAAGCTTCACATGGAATAAATAATCCTGCAATGTTGTTGATTTCCAGACTTGAAGGAGTATGGCTCCAACTTGTAATTTTATCCCATAGCTTTAAAATTGGATAGCTAATAGCTTAGCTAACAGTTTGAGTTTACTGTCATTCAACACACATACACACACTGACTACGAGAAGGATTATTTGTTCATCACAGTGTATCCTACAGCTGAATATAGTAAAAGCTAACTAAAGTGTTCATTAAATCAAAAGAGTACAACTTCAATTTGCTTTTTTTTTGCTTTTTAGCTTATAGCCTAGCTTTCTGCTAACTGTAGCACCACGGTAGGCTCATCTCAACACAGAAGGCTTAAGAAAGTGTTGCTAATCTGTTTGGCTAAATGCCAGCCTTGAGCATTCGGATTTGGTTAGCAAAAAATAAAGTACTGGCAATATTTTCTCTAAAAAGCTTTGCTAACATTGTCAGACTCTTTTCTACTAAATCCGTTTTTTTAATGTTATTTTATGTGAACAGTGGTGGGATTAGGTTGATGAAAACAAGTGAAAATGGTCAAATTAAGTTTATGTTGGGTGGAGTCTCAAGCAAACACACTTTATTGCAAATTTGTCTTTATTGAAAGGTTAAACATGTGCAGATTAAGTCGTACAGATTGTTTCTTTTGAATCACTTAATAAAATCATTGCAGTCATTAGAAGTATTTGATTGAACTATTTCCTTAACATTAATTTAAACAGTATAACTACCATTGATCATTTCTGAATGAATAAGTATACTATATGTAATTCATTGCATTGTTATATGATGCAGAAAAAGAGAGGACATCATCAAAATGATTTAACGTTTTTTCCCCTCTGCTCCCCCATAATAGAGGTAGATGACGCAGCCTTTGGTGCCTTCATTCAGATTGAAGTCTTCGACGACAATGATACCAGCTTTCTTATACGCTTCAACAGCAGCTGTGTTGAGAAGGATGCTGAAGACTGAAAGGTATACCTTCAATCCATCATTCTTGTACCACAGACACAAAGGGTTACCTCCGGCCTTTTTGTTAACTTTCACTGACTGGTAGTTTTTCCGCTGAAGGTCCAGATTCTTCTTATCATCGTTGGAGATTTGCAGATCCTTGATTGCACGCTGGGGGATAATGGTCTGACGGTACCAGATGAACACATAAGAATCCCCTGTACCCTTAGTGCAATCCTCATCTATGCGGATGTAACCTTCCTTAAACAACTCTTGGTCAGATTCGAAGTTTTCAGTGATATTGAGGTTGCAGATGTACGTTTGCTTTTCTCTCTGCACGCAGGCGTAGATCCAGTTCCCTTTAGCTCTGCGGTTCAGATCACAGCCAAGTTTCTCCCAGCCGCTCTCGAACTTCTGAGCTTCACTTTCTGGATCTAGAGTGACGTCAATCTCCACTATGGGAGTGTCGAACTCTCCGGACCCCTTGAAGTACCAAAGGTAGATGACATCTCCTCCTGCTCCAGTGTTGAGGTTCTTATCGACCTTTGTGAACCCGAACTTCTTCAACTCAGCGGCCATTTCATCAGCGAAGGAAAACTGAACCCTGGTGATTGGTGTTGATCCACGTTTGAACCAAATGTACACAGGACTTCCTGCCGTGCCTTTGTTCACATCAACATCGATTTTCTCAAAGCCTTCTGATTGGAGCTTTTTCTCATCGGCTGCATTCAGGGACGCATCAATCTGTGAGATGTAGGAGGCCATTGTGGGTAACTGCAATAAAGAAAGACAAATGAAACACAATACGACTGTGAGCATCAATATAATACAGAGTCATGTAAAGCAGTTTTTGAACGTGGATCACCATAATGACATGACATAATCACATTTCAAGGCCATTGACATAACCCATACTGAGCATATACAATTTTAAAATACAAAAATAGGTAAACAGGTTTGTTCCAAAGCAAGTAATTATGAGGTTATTGAGCACTTACGTGTCTGGTGACAGTAGATGAGGGTCAGTAAGAATCTGTTGAATGCTGTTGAACTTACCACAGCTCAGCTGCCTTTATATAGAGAGTAGGGATGTCGTTGCTCTTTGTACAGACACTACTTGAGTCATATTCTCAAGAATTGATCATATCTGAACACCTTGGAAAATCAGATTAATGATTGGTGATTCTGAACAATGAAAAGCAAACAATGTTGTCACGCTCCACTTCTGATTTCTTACGAAAACAGCGACACAATCTTTATCGGCCTCCGGTGTGTATTTGTCTTTGATAAAGTTCCAGATAGTTGAACTCCAGTGCAGTTTGAAGTACTTTTCTCTGGAAGTCTAACCAGCTATGAGTACAGATATAGATTAGTGTGTTTTGCATTCATTCCACCAGTCAATTCCACTTTAGTGTAAGGTAGCCTTTACAACCAGCACAATGTGTTGTTCCCTGGAAATGAAGCATAAGCCTTGATATAGTGTGAAGAAAAATGCATTGGTTGAAAAACAGAAAATGAACACAAAATGAACAAGCGCACATTATACCGAGGGCAATCACATGCAGTATGAAAACTACCAAATGAAAAAAATGCCCAGAATAGCGCATATTATACAGAGGGCAATCACAGTATATAGACTACCTTACGAGTATATGTCCTGTGTCGCACACATTATACAGAGGGCAATCACAGTATATAGACTACCTTACGAGTATATGTCCTGTGTCGCACACATTATACAGAGGGCAATCACAGTATATAGACTACCTTACGAGTATATGTCCTGTGTCGCACACATTATACAGAGGGCAATCACAGTATGAATATTACCATACAAGTATATGTTCTGTGTTGAACACATTTTACAGAGGGCAATCACAGAATACTACCATACGAGTATATGTCCTGTGTTGCACACATTTTACAGAGGGCAATCACAGAATACTACCATACGAGTATATGTTCTGTGTCAAACACATTTTACAGAGGGCAATCAGAGTATGAACACTACCATACGAGTATATGCCCTGTATGTCCATATCATACAGAGGGTGGTCACAGGTGCTCACCCTCTTCGATGCTTAAGCCAAGTGTCAAAAATGTTCGAATCTTCATTCCAATACTTCAGAAATGTAGGTAATAATAAAGTTAATTACCATCTGCTTCTCTTACCAGTTTTTCATTAATTTCTTTGTTACAAAGCCCCACATGTATTTGATTTATCACAATTCTACCTCTTGTTAAACTGCACAGCTCTTCCACTTTACATTCTGATATACTGCACACACCAGCATACATTTTGTGGACTCAAATGTCATTTTCTTATTGTACTTTTCTTTTGATGTCCTTATTTATTAAACCATTTTTTGAATAGTTTTTATAAAAGTTCTATATTTGCTCTTTCTCTTTCCAACTCAATACTTCTAACTGTATCCATCCATAATTAACCAGAGCAAATTGCATGTATGTGTAAACCTACTTGTCATTAAATAAATTCTGATCCTGAGGTTATTACCAAAAGGCTTCAAATGAACTGAATCCAAAAATAATAATACAACATTTATATTACATATTCCTGCACGCTTGAATTGTTTGTGTTTTTGTGTTTAAAGCAGATTATTCAACAGTTATACTAGGGTTTCATTGGATTAATTAATGTCATTTTTATGATCATTTCTAAAAGTAATGATGGCATATTTAGATTTAGGTTTGAGTGGATATACAGGACTAAATGCAATTGATCATGAAAACATTTATAATTTCGGAGCTGCGGTTACTTTGTCTTTCTTTTTCAGCCTAAAAGCTTCAAGAACTCCATTGTCCATTTTAAGCAGCTATTTAATAATATAATAAGGACTCTTTTTTTTATAAAATTGCTACAATCTACCTCCAAAACATTCACAACCTTTTTTTGCCCAGGCCCGGTCGGTATTCATCGACTAATTTTCAAATATTTGCAGTTATTACTTCTCTGGAAGTCTAACCCGCAGATCACTAACACACACACACTTAGACACACACACACTTAGACACACACACACACACACACACACACACACACACACACACACACACACACACACACACACACACACACACACCACACACACACACACACACACACACACACACACACACACACACACACACACACACACACACACGACCGGTCTTCAGGGAGGAGTTTGTGATCGTGGGACTCCCTCAATACAACTCCTCACATCTTTAATGAAAAGCCACGTAAATGTTACTCATGTTTAATTGCAGGAACATGAAATCGTCCACTTGTGAAGTGCTAAGAGACGCAGCAGTGTGTGTGACTCACTGTCCTGAACTCACTGTCCCTCATTAGGACAACAGACTCTCTGCATGTCCTGCTTCAGAAATACTGCAACCATCAGCTCTCTCTCAGTCAGAATATTCAGCCACTGTAACACATCTGTAAACTACTGGGCTGTATATTGAGTATTATTTGAGGTTCATGTATCTCTACTGTAAACACGTATATCTATCTATCTATCTATCTATATCTATCTATCTATCTATCTATCTATCTATCTATCTATCTATCTATCTATCTATCTATCTATCTATCTATCTATCTATCTATCTATCTATCTATCTGTCTGTCTGTCTGTCTGTCTGTCTGTCTGTCTGTCTGTCTGTCTGTCTGTCTGTCTGTCTGTCTGTCTGTCTGTCTGTCTGTCTGTCTGTCTGTCTGTCTGTCTGTCTGTCTGTCTGTCTGTCTGTCTGTCTGTCTGTCTGTCTGTCTGTCTGTCTGTCTGTCTGTCTGTCTGTCTGTCTGTCTATCTATCTATCTATCTATCTATCTATCTATCTATCTACCTACCTATCTATCTATCTATCTATCTATCTATCTATCTATCTATCTATCTATCTATCTATCTATCTATCTATCTATCTATCTATCTATCTATCTATCTATCTATCTATCTATCCATCTATACTTCACTACTGTTATCTTGCTGCTTACTACTTCTACATTTTCTTTTAAAATACTGCTACTGTACTTACAGTTGTCTACCTGGATGTGTACTTTTGCAAATTGTACTTTGTGTTATTTATGTGCATTTGTGTGTATTTTATTTACCTTCATTAATATTCTACCTTACTTTTGCTGTAACAATGTAAATATCCCCTCTGTGGGACTCATGAAAGTATTCTGATTATGAGATTAAAATAATAATATTGAGACTGAAGTGTTATAACAGTCATACCATTTATAGGCGATGAAGCGAAAGTATTACTCACTAAATGAAATGTAACTTCCTGATATTTCCACATGATGGTGCCATGGTGTCATACATGAATTCAGGACAACCAAACTGGAGACCATTGCCAGTAACTGAAAATTATTATTTTTTAAAAAGGGATTCAGCATACTTTTTTATTCATCGTTATATTAATTTGCGCATTAAAACAGAACTGGGTTACCATAAAAAAAACGAATTTGGTTGTCCAAATACGCACCGGTCTTTAAAAAGGTGGAAAGTAAATTGTAAAACCCACATTACATTTAATGAAAGAGGGAAAAAAGTGCTATTTTAAATCATTACAACACAAAATTCCATTTAAATACATTAAATGTAGATGTGGTTTAATGTCCCCTTGGCATGGTGTTCTTAATTGTTATTGTAATTTAACTCTACAGTATCACCGTTAAAGCTAAATGATTCTAGTTAAACTATAGTGTTGTTAGGGAAATATATTTTGCATAAAGCATTGACAAGTCCAACTATGCAATAAACTAAGAAAACAAACAATAAAAGAAGACTTAATGCACAGACATTGTTTTATATACAAGCAATATAATACACACATCAATCTGAGATACCTATAATGCCCACCAGACAGTGCAATAATTGGTCAGTTTATGATGTAAATTACCAAGCTGATTCGGTATACAGGCAAACACTGCTGCTGAATTTCATGGATAAATTCAGCCATCTAATTGCAGATGAATTCAACAAGACTGCAGTGCCGCTGCTCTGAAGTGTATCCAGTGTGAAGTATCAGTTTCTCTGTCTAAGCCAACAAGATGATTGTCTTTCAGCACATGACTCCCAGTATTTCAGTTATTGGTGTGTAGCTCAGAGCAGTAACCATACTCACAAAGTCCCCGTCAACAACTGCAATACACACAATACAATCTGTTAAAACAAGGTCATAAATTAAACAGATGTTAAAGATTTGGTTTTCTTTAGAGAGAATGGCTGTGCTTCCCTGCAAATTATCTCTGTGACTGTCTCTGAAGTTTGCTATCAGTAAAAGTCCCCAGATATTTATAGCTGCCCTACAAATCAATTCCCTTATCAGATTGAAGAGAAGGTTTGGGAGCAGCCTGTAAACTTCTAAAATGTATTGCACCATGACAAAAAAAGTCACCAACAACACTCTCGTTCTGGAGGGTGCTACAAAATGCCAGAATAAAAAAAATGTCTGTCTAAATATTTGCTGCGGCAGTCATGAATATGAATGAAAATATTGCGGTGTGAAGGTATATATAATGTTCAACCGAGAGGCAGGAGATAAAAAGAGAAACTTTGGGGACTAAAATCTGTCACTTGAAATGTCTGCAGTGTCTAGATTAACCTTGTGAAATATGAAAGTGAAAAATGAGATAAGAAAAGTTAACATGACTAACGAGACACAGTGTAAGTCAGGACCCAATGCAATATATGCACACTGTATACCTGACACTGTCCTCTGGGTTCTGTCACTTCTTTAAAAACACTATAGGCTAGAATACTTCCCCTGCATGGCATATATTAAGTAAAATTCAATTTAAATGTGTAATTGCAGACAATCCATTATAGCCATATCTTCACAGACTCTGGACTAATCACATTAGATACACATGACGCTAACTGGGGAAAAGTTATTTTCATTATGCCAATGAATATTTATCTAATCACTATCTGAAACATTCAAATACTATTTGAGAAGCTAAACTGTTCAATATATTCTCTGAGAAACTTAATATACATTACTGCCCTTCACCATCTGTCTCTATTTCTTTGCC